CAATTCTTTCCCTAATTACTCCCTTTAAGATACTAGTCCAGGCCCTCATCACTTTGCATCTGGGTTAATACAAAAGTCTCCCAGTTGATTTTCTGCCTCTGAGCTCTTTCTTCTCTAATCACTCCCTTAATGTGCCCATGCTCACCTCCACTTCTAGGGCCACTTCAATAAACATGCCAAGTACAGTGTACTTTGCCATTTGTTTTAAAGGGAGGGACAGAAACAAATGTGCTGTGCTATGCTAGTAAAGTAAGTCCTCACTTAATGTCATTGATAGGTGTTTGGAACTGCGGCAAAATGTACAACGAAACCAATTTTACCATAGGCTACTCGATATAAACAAGAGGTAAGCTCCTCTGGCATCTCATCAATGCTATAACGAAATAACATTGAACTAAACGAGGTTATTGGAAGACTTGCTGTATGTTTACTTTTACGCTTAAAATAGCTCTGAAAGATATATGAGAAAGTGGTTGTGCTAGTTACCTACAAGAAGGGGAACTGGGTGGCTGGGAGGGATATTTTTCAGTATAGCCTTTTGTTCCTCTTTTTTTTTTTTTTAAATTCTCATCTGAGGACATGCTGAGAGAGAGAGAGAGAGAGAGAGAGAGATTGATCAGTTGTCTTCTGTACATACCCCAATCAGGGATCGAACCTGCAACCCAGGTATGTGCCCTCACCGGGAATTTAACCGGCAGTCTTTCAGTGCACAGGACAATACTTAACCAATTGAGCCCTCTGGCCAGGCCAATTATTTTCCAAAGGGACAGCATCCTGGACAACTTGGTTTGAACACCTTTAGTGATGGGGAACTCATTACAGCTAGAAGCAGTCACCAGCTGACAGCTCAAATTTCTAACAAAAACATTAAAATGTTGATCACCTTGCATGTGCCAGGCACTTTGCTAGAGCATGAGGGAGAAATTCCTCAACATGTTGAGCTCATATTTGCCTCCCTGCAACTTCCTCCCACTGGGTCTCTGTCCTGTTTGGAACAGCAGTGATTGAGTCTTTGGCTCCCTGCATTTCACGACAGCCCCACAGGTACAAAGTTCTCAGACTTTCTTCTTCCCTGTTTATTCAGTCTCTTCTTCTATCGCATTCCCTAGGTGAGATTCATTGTTCTTATTGACAAGCATCTGCTTTAAAATGCAAGTGTGGGAGGGGCAGCACATTAAGCTTAATCTGATGCTCCCTCCCATCAACATCTCTTGAGGGAAAAGGGAGTTTTGATTTGGGGAAAGGAGTGAGGAGAGTGCTCAGGGGACAGACGATTGGGAGCATGGTTCAAGTTCTCACCAGAGCTTGGAGAGGATGTTGATGCAGGATTTCTGGGTAGGCAAGAGCAGCACAGGGATCCCGAGCTCCTGAGACTAAGGGAGAAGTCACACCAAGTTAAAAAATAGCAATTATGATGAACATCTGTTGAGCATTGACTACATGGATGCTGGACAGTGTGTCTGAATTGTCTTGATTATGCCTCACAATGGTGTTACTAGATGGGGATGATTAATTATTATCGACATGTTACAGACTGAGTAAAATGAGGGCTACCGAATTTCTAACTTGTATAGAAAACTGAAGTCAGGTTTTGAAGCCAACAACGTAGGCTTTTCCCTAACCACCTTGCTAAAAGGAAGAGGAAAACCTAGTTTTGCCTGCTTCCCTTAGGGCTAATTAGTAATTATCCAAGTGGAACTTAGATGCCCCAGACTTCTCCCACCTTCAGAAGTCCTGCAATATCCAAATACAGACCACCCCCCCCCAAAAGTCCACTCTTATACCAGGTTTCTATCCCTAAGTGTTTGAGTCCCCAAGGAAGGTTCCATGCTCCACCAGTCTGTCTTAGATGGTTTTGGTTATCTGTGCCACGAGGTACTGCTGAACCTTGTGGCACAGTTAAGACCAGACTAAAATGTTAAATGAGACTTTTTCCCAGGGTCCCCTATTGAGCAAATCTCATGTGCAACTTCTAGCCAGTTTGCAGAGATCAGTCTACCCATCGCCCGCACACAGTCAGCTAGCAGTATTTGTGAGACCACCACATCCTACAACAGTCAGTATGAACAACTTTGACATTCCTAGAAGGCAAAACCCTATTTGCAAAGATGTAGTACACCCAAGGGGGAATTATATGAGCAGATTAGAACCTCAAATCTCACCATTTCTGGATAGGACCTTGGCTTTCCAATGCATTACCAGAGGGCCCATGAGGGCCCTCAATGGTGGCCTCACCCTCTAGAGAAACTGAAACTGCATAGCAAGTCTCAGCCAGGCCTCATTACACAAACACAAAATCACACTTAAAAATATAGACTAATAATTTTTAAAGAGGGTACATTTGGGACAAAGAAAGGGATTCTCTCATTTGTGTAGACTCTAGAATCATACAATGTGGAGGACCTCACCTTAAATCTCACAAGCAGACTGTGTTAAGCCTCATTTAATCACCTGGGTCCTCCTTCTGAATGATGATGATAACTAAGAATTCTTTTTACTATAAGAATCTGTGGAAATCGCTAAGGATCCACAACAGGTGGGTTTGAAACCATAAATTAATTGAACATTTTAAGACACAGTGAAAACGGCTCTAATGGTTAATATTATTTTAAAAACACATACACAACATGGAACTTGTGTGAGTGCAACTTTGACACTGATGAAATGTTCAGCTTCATTTCCAGCCTCTTCCTGGCAGAGGTAAGCTGGAAAATGAAAGAACCCAGGCACCAGAGGGACCTGAGGGAGGGGAAATGAAGGTGTGGTTTTGGTGCCTGGCTTCAAAGACTGGCGGCAGTCAAGAGTCTAACCTATCTCTTTCCAGCTAGACCAACTTTCTGTAAAGACAGAAAAACCCCAAACAGCCGAAGTAAAATTTCCCCTGCATAATTTTTAATTTAACAATGTCCCAGTTTCCAACCTATCATCATCTAATCTTTGTAATCACACTGATGAACCAAGCACAGCCACGGTGAGGGAATGGCTAGTGTGGGATGGCTCAGGCTCCCCAGCTCAGGGTCCAAGGTTTCATTCTTTTCACTGAAATTCCAGCTTCTTGATGAACTTGTGTTTACTCACTTCACTACTATTAGGGACAGAAATGAATAGACTAGAGAAAAGATTTCTATCCTTTTAATGCATCATTCAGTAAGTAGAATTGAATACCTTCCGATCTTGATATCTGGTTGCATATATTAGCTCTGCTATGTAAAATCAGCTAGTTCACATTTTCATGGTTCTCAGGTCCTCCTGATAACAGATCTCCTTCCCTGTGTACCCAGCCAAGGGCATAGGCCCAGCAACTTCTCTCTGTTGCCTCACACACGCTGCATTAGACATACACTTTCCACCTATTGGCATGGATAAAACACTTCCGTTGGAAGAGGGGGTGTTAATAAAGACAATAAAATCACTATAAAAAATATAGACAGATTCAGATTCTAGACTTTGAGTTAAAGGATCTGTCAATCTTAGGTTAAGTTGATGAAAATTGTAAACGTAGATCAAGAGCTAAATTCTCTTTTTAAGCAAAATGATTCCTTCTGAAATCCAGACTGACTATTCCATATAATTTGCTCTGAGAGTGAAAGACTTCCAGAGCCTTTGTAAAGCTCCTTGGTGTTCAGATACTTGTTGTAGAGATACACTCACTGCCTCATAAGGCAGCAGCCCATTTCAAAACTGACAACCTGTGGAGTAAAAAAGTTCCTCCTTATACTGAGCCAAATTGACCTTCAGTAGCTTTCAACAATTTGATCTTAGTTCTACCCTCTGGAGAGATACAAAATAAACCTAATCCCTCTAGTAGACAGCTAATCTCTTTATATGATTCTCTTAAAAGAAACTGTGGTGACTCAGGCTACGATTCTATCAAGGGTATAATAAACACAATGCCTTTCCCCTCCTTTTAGTGGCAGAATAAGCTTACGTGAGTATACTTAGTATGCTGGGAGAGAGAAAACGCTCCTCCATGGCAGGGCCTGGTGTACAGCCCACTTCAAGAACCCAGTCTGTAGCAAGTCGGAAATGGATGAGAGTCTGGCAAAGGGGGGTGCTGGACAGGCAGTCTCTCTCAGATTTTCCTCTTATGATAACACAGCCTTCTTTTAGCTAAAGTGCATGTCTGGCCCCAGAGATTCCCCTATTAGCCTGGGTCAAAGATTACATATTTTCAATCCTTTGTGTGCATTAGAATCTGGGGAGTTTTTCATAGGGCCCCATCCCCTGAGATTTTGATTCAGTAGAAATGAAGGAGGCCTTGTAAACTGCATTTTAACAAGCACTCCAGGTGCTGATGTTCTTACTGCACTTGGAGAAACATTAATCTAAGTGAAGGAGAAAAGCCGAGCAAAAAAATACCTTGCATTTTGGTTTATTTAACCAGAAAGCTTAACATTTCATTTATTGGTTCTATCCATTTGAATTAACTTATTAAATTCCATGTTACATAAATAACAAAAATAACACTTTAAGTCCTTTATAATTCATTAAGTCTAGCAAAATTCTTCCAGAAAACGGAGGGAACTAGCAACATCATCCACACGTTACAGACTGACGTGTAAACTGAAGGCCTGTTGGGAAGCATTCAACATGGGCCTTACAAAGGGAGTCAGGCTGCTGCATGGCAGCCTCTCTCCCAGTCTCGGGTTGGCCAACAGCTCAGGGCCTAGGGCCAGACATGAAGAACTTTACAAGGAGAGTGCATTTCAGTCCAACACTTAGCTGTTCAGCCTCGTGATTGAAGTTAACACAAAAATCACACCTGGATAAGCACTACCACGTACATCCTATGCAATTCTGTGGGAATTCTAATAAAGCTATAGAGGGATTCCAGCACACAGGTTACAACAAGTTAAAACATTTCACCGTAGTCTAAATACCCGGGGAGTTTAATTATGCAAAGAAAACCCTCTTTCCTTTGAGAACAACAGCTTATTTCTTCACACAATAGCTGCTGTGGTTCTTTTATAAATATGAAGGGTGTCTCATCTCTAAATCAGTTTTGAAGTAATGCTATCCCAAGGCAGCCCTGGTGACCATGTTTCCTTGTGGCAAGGTGAACACATGTACTACCTAGTAATTTACCACTTAGTAAACTGACTAAATACGTTGAACAACAAATTTAGTAAAAGGTTTTGATGATAGAGACTTACTTTCCTACTAAGACACTTCATGTGTCCTGCTGCAAAACAAAATTACTTCAGAGTAAATGTAGCAAAGGCATCTAACTTTCATTTTCTGTCAGGGATGAAGAGTTTCACTGGCTCGCTGACCTTCCTCTTCTTCCTGGTGCTCTCAGAACTTTGCTGACTGTGTGCGATACTCGTTCTTTGAATCTGTGAGAATCACCAGAGAGAGGCACAATTCAGCAAAGATTTTGATGCCTGCAAAGGCATATGCAAGACAGGTAGACCAAGTATTAATCCTTATAGCTGCATAACGGATCCAAACCTGCTTTCCTGTGGGCTGGTTTGGCCCTGCACAGAGGCCCTGCTGCCAGTATCAGAGTCTGGCATTCCAAGTTTCAGGAGCTGAGGTCCCCTGGAGGCAGCCAGTCTCAGGGACAATTTCTTGGCTCTCTTTAGTGAATTCAGCACATCCAACTCTTGAGGGAAGAGTTGTTAAGGTGTGAGGCCAACAAGGAGCAATTAAGGGTCAGGAGAGATCTAGGGCACTGATTGCTTTAGAGGCAAATACAATTTAAGTCCCAATTTCAGTTAGCAGAAACATACAGCCTTATCTTCTCTATCATAGGTTCAGACTAATGAATCAGGAAGGACCATGGCCCTTATTTCTTCTTGAAAAGAAGTGGATGTTATTGATTAAAGGGAAGTTGATTAATGAGTCATCGTAGGTATCTAATTCTCCATTGGGCTCAGCTTTGGTAAAGATTTTAGAGCTTATTTTTGCTTAACTGAATGAACAACTAGATGTATTGTAATCTGTCAGACAATCTCTGATACCTGGAATTCCAGGAAACACATAGAGGACATTTTTATATTTTCTAGCCACTAGATGGGAGGAAAGGTTTTCCCATGCCTCTGTTCTTTCTTTGGTAGAAAAATAGAATAGGATAAGTAGTTTTTGTTGTTGTTGTTGCTAATCCTCACCCGAGGATATTTTTTCCATTGAAGGGAGGGAGACAGAGAGAGAGGGACAATTATGTGAGACACATCAGAGAGACACACTGATTGGGTGCCTCCTGCGTGCGCCCTGGCTGGGGCCAGGGATGGAGCCTGCAACTGAGATATGTGCCCCTGACTGGAATCAAACCCGTGACCCTTCAGTCCGAGGGCCGGGCTGTCACGCTAGGGCAAGATAAGTATTTTTAAGAAAGACTTGTCAGAATATTTAGTAGAGGTTTCAACATTATCCTTTTGTTGTTATAGAAACAGGTTGTTATTATTATTATTGATACATTATTACTACAAAATACTGGGAATGTCAAAAAACATTTAAGTGCCATTTAGAATCAAAGATTGGGTCTACAAATGGTTAATTTAATCACTCACTTTTAGTTTTAGAAAGCAGTTGAAATTCTGATCTCAGAAACCACAAATTCCCTTCGGCTTAAACTAAGACAATGACTATATAAAACAATAAAACTGAGAAAATAAATAGAGCTGCTCACCAAATAACTGGTTTGCTTAGATATGTAAAAGTTTGAAACGGTCTGCTCTAATGGTCTTTTTAAAGCAACATAAAAATCCAAAGCACCAAAACCAACTTCCTTATTTGTTACAGTGTGACTGTAAGAAAAAAATGCTTAGTAAGACTCACTTTCCTAGAAATATTGCTTGGGGGTTCTTTTCATTCAATGAAATTATCCTTACTTCTATCAAGTCTGGGTACACTGAGAAGAAAAGAAAATGGATATACAAATCCTCAAATGACAAGTTGACCTGATGGTTTAATAGTTTTGTTCTCTTTTTCTTCTTTGCTCAAAAGTAAACCAGAATTTTATTACAAGTTTCAGAACTATAATTTTATTGCAGTGTGTTAATGGCAACATTTTAAATAATGTATACAATGTCCAGGAAACCAGTGAGGCCTGGGAACTCTCAATAATTTACAGAAAACTAGTGGGTTCAAAAGCAAATGTATGATCAGTCAGGGGACACTTTCTAACATAGATGAATAAGCTACATGAACTATATAAACCAACAAATTTATCCATACGAAGAAACGTTTTTCAGGTGTATTCCAGGGGACTGAGTTTGCATATTTGATGCCAAAGCCAACCAGGCAAGCAAAGAGCCAGTGATCAGGCAAGCTAGACAGATTACCTGGTGATGTGAGCAACATGGAAGACCATCAAGTGATTTCTAATGAATGTCATATTATATTTTAAACAGATACATTTTAAAGTGTTTCTTATATACCAACTAACAAGAGGCTACTATGATCCACTTACCAACAGAGCCTCAGTAGAGTATCTGAAAAAAGCCCTAAAGAGACACTTTCTTTCTTTCTTTTTTTAATCCTCACCTGAGGATATTTTTTCCATTGCTTTTCGGAGAGAGTGGAAGGGAGAGAGAGAGAATCATCGATGTGAGAGAGACAGACACAATGATCGGTTGCCTCCCATACACTCCCCAACCAAGGATCAAACCTGTAGCCTAGGTATGTGCCCTGACCAGGAATCAAACTAGCAACCTTTTGGTATACGGGAAAATGCTCCAACCTACTGAGCCACACTGTCCTGGGCCCAATCATATGCTCTTAAATAGAGTTATAAGAGATCAGGGACATGACAGTCTTGGTCACAAATTGCACATAGTAGGGGCTCAATAAATATTTTTCAATGAATGAATGCATCTTCAAAGAGCACTCTGCCAGCAGTGTAGAAAGGTACTGGGGGCATCAAGTGGATGCAGGATGATGAGTCATGCCATTGTAGTAGTCAGGTGATAACTTGGGTGGCAGTGCAGATAGAGAGAAGTCAACAGTGAGAAATATTCAGAAGGTAGAGTCAGAAGGATGGTCAATTGCCTGTGATGATATAAAGGAGAGGCAGGTATGTCAATAATGACTCCCAGTTTCTGGTTTAGCTAACTTCATAGATGGAGATACTGTTGTCTCACGTAAAATACAATGTGTGTTTTGAATCTGTTGAGGTTGGAGTATCCGTGAAACTCCAAGTGGACATACTGAATAGGCTGCTGTATATGAAAGTCTAGAGCTCAGGAGAGAGGTCTGGGTTGGAGATGTAAATCTGAGAGTCATCAGGATATGGAGGCTAATTAATGCCATGGGTGTGGAAGAGTTTGCTTATTGAGAGATCAGAGCGTGAGAAGGGAAAGGGGCCAGGACATAGCCTAAGGAACTTCAACATTTAGAGATTAGGTGGAAGATGAGCCAACAAAGGAGATGAGAAAGAGATAAAAGGAGACTAGCAGATTGTTGTATAAAGAAAGTCAAGGGAAGAGAGTGTTAAGAAGAGGGAGTAGAGAAAATAAAAGAGGTGATGGTGGTGGTCAGTAGTTCCAGGTGTTGCTAAGAGGTCGAGGAAGATGAGAACTGAACTATGTCCACTTGATTTAGCCACTGGAGATTACTAGGTGCAATGGTTTGGTAGGGGCAGAAGTCCTCTTGAAGTCAGTTGAAGACAGTGATTAAAATATATTTAAAAACTGAGACAGCTAGTATACAAAGTTTTATAAAAGTCAAGGGGGAATGGCTCTTAGGGTGAGGTGTTATGTATCTAACTCATCTCTGTTAAAAATGTAAATTCAATATGATAGTGCAAGTTAACTTATCAAATGGCTTCCAAGTGGCAGGCTGCTGAAAGCAGGGCTTCACAGGCTTTGGAAAGAAAACAGATATGTTTCCATATAGAAAGAGCAGTCAGGGTACAGTACTTACTTTGCATTAAGAACTATATCTGTGTGGGGAACCAAGGCAGGGAGCAGGGGCAGCCTCAGACAACCAGGAAATATCTTATGGACTTTATGTGTGGGGGGTAAAAGTGCAGTGAGTTTAGCTTACTTCAAAATTATTTGCCAGGTCAAATCTGGCAAAATGGTTTCTCTTTAGAAAACCAGTTCCTTACCAGTACAGATTTATAACCAAGTGTTAAGTATGGAATCTTTGGATTTGGAAGTTTCCAGATCAAGAAATTGTATAGTTCAGAGAGGGTCTGTGCCCCCATAAGTAAGTTGCTATAGCAGTGATGTTAGTTTGAGTCTTTTCCCTTGACGTTTACCTTTTTTGCACAATGAAAGGTAGATCAACAGCAATTATAAAATACATGCTATTAGCATAAATGTAGTTTATGTTAATATGTGATGAATGAGCAGTAAGAAATCAAATGCTTAAAAGAGAACACTTATCTCCAACTCCAGTGGAGTTGCGAGCTCTCTGGTATGTTGGGAAGTGTCTCATGTTTTACTGGGATTAATGATATTTGCCCATTCATTTACATTCTTGATTTTTTGTAGTTTATGACCAGGGTTCTTGACCATGGCTATCTCTATTTAAGGGGTAAATATGTATTCACCTTAGAGTCATAACCACATATTTCCATTAATCTTCAAAAATTATTATTATATCAATTCTTCCTCTATATTTTCTAAGGCATCATATGGCTTTAAAAGTTCTATAATCAATTCATTTATTCAACAAATGTTTTTGAGCACCTTCTCTGTGCCAGACACTGCGCTAATAAACACTATAGACACTAAGCTGATTAAGACACACTCACGTCCTCAAAGAGGGCCTGGTGGGAGAAACAAACTGGCTGCAGATGAAATGAGAGAGTCTCGTATAGGGTAAAGCAAAGGTTCCAAAAAGATCTTATCAGTTCTTCCTGGGGAGACCTGGCAAGGCTTCAAAGGAGTTGTGAAGCTTGAACTAGGTAGTGCAAGATGAGCAGACATTCACCAGGCAAGTGGCATTAGGGACTGAGGTTGCAGAGAGAACATTCCAGACAAAAGGAGCACAGGTACAGGGATATAAAGCAAAATATCTCTGGTGAATTGGAACTAGTTCAGTGGGACTAACAGGAAGGGCACTGTCATTCTCTGCAGTTTGGGCTTTGTACTGTAATGGGGTGCCACCGAAGGGTTCTAAGAGCATGTTTGTTTTTGAAAGGTCCCTATGGCAGCGGTGTGAGAATGGGCTGGAGAGGCTGAGACAAGAAACATTTCTGAGCAGAACAAGAGCAGCAGTGAGGTTAGAGAGGAGAGGATTAATAAGGCAGGGGGCTGAGAAGAGACAGAACGAACGCCTGAACACAAAGCCTAATATGACTTGATCATTAACTGGAATGGGAACAGGGATGGCAAAGGAAAGAAAGGAGTAAAAAGTGACAAAAATTTCTCACTTTTCTGGAAAT